CGAGACTTGCGCGGGGGGGCGGCGCGGCCGCGCGTGAGGGCAGGGCGAGGCGGCGGCTGCTCCGCCTGCTCCCCGCGCAGGGAGACGGTCCCTGGGGGGAAAAACAACCCGAAACGCTGCGCCAGGCCCGTCCCCACGCAGAGGGGCGTCCGCCGAACACCAGCGGCAGCAAATCTCCCCCAAAACAAACAAACAAACAAACAAAAAACCCCACAAAAATAATAAAAAACACACCCAAAACAACACAAAAAAACACAAAAAGGTCAAAAAATCCCACAAAACCAACCAACTGAAAAAGCAGCTCTCAAAATGCCCACTTTATTATTATACAAAAGGAAAAAAAAATGCTTTTAACAGTTCATACTTTTCATTCCCCACTTGCAGGCTGCCCCCCGGGAAGGTAACCTGTGCACACATCCAAGCAAAACCCTGGAATAAAAGTCCAGTGACTTTTTTTTGTATACAAAACTCATTTAAGGTGTTTAATGAAATGCAACTGAAAGGGTATACACAGATGTTYGATACGTACAAGAGGACAGGCAGACAAATATAAACAGAAGTTGGTCTATTTTACATCTGCTGTGCCTCCTATTGAAGCGTAGTGCACTTCTCTTCAGCGAGTTTGAGCTACCAAGATCATGGAGGGAATAAAACAGAGCAGCATCAAGTCAGGCTTCAGCTCCTATTTACAGAATGTAAGTGGTAGTTCTGCAGGATATACGTGCTTTCATTAAAAAAAAAAAATCTTATAAAAGCTACTCATTACCTACCACTGCTGGAGGGCTTCGCTGATGCCAGTCAGTTTCACTGTTCACAGCTTGATTAATCGATTACACTGCCCAGGTTCCACCTGCAGTGATTATCCCGGCCACTTCCAAGAGACACTGATGTCTCTCTTACCTGATCCTCTCTCCCACTTATCCATTGAGCCATTTATGTGTTTTCCAAACTCAAGTGCTAACGCTGTGTAGCGTTAACACAGCAGGATAAAGACATGACAATCAAAGGGGTACAAGGTTAAGTACACAATACCTAACAGTTCTACTCTTCAGATTCTTTCAACTTCAATTTCGCCTTAGCTTCCTGTGATGGAGTTTTGGCAGCTTTGCTCTTTACAGTTTTTGGAGTTTTCTCTTTTGCCTTTCTTGTTGTGGCACGGAGCAGGTCTTCGCGTCCCAGTTCAACCATTTTTGCTTCCCAAGACTTCATTTCGTTTTCATACCGAACCTTATCGTCTTCAGAAAGCTGCAAGTATGTCTGGAAGAAAATTATACATTGACAGCTATGAAAGAGGCTATTTCTGACAAATCACATCCTCCTCTTTCACACAAAGGCACAAATACACAACTAGRGCAATTTAGGTGTTTACTAGGGGTTTACTAGGGGTTAGGGTGTTTACTTTCATCTCTAGTGAACTCAAAAAATGTTACATTTCTACAAACCCCCAAAACCTTAATACCAAACTCTGGTTATGCCAATAACCAGGAAAAAAAAAAGAGAGGGCAGTCATTTTACTTCAGTATAGCCTACCTCTGATTTTCACCCACCSGTTGACCGTATGTTCAATGACACTAAGAAAGCACTAGAAAAATAATCCTGATTGCTGTGTTCGGTTGTAACTTTCTGCCTCTTAACAGTGTTTCTATGACTAGTAAGCTACTAACCTGACATTAAAACAAAGTATCTTATTTTTAATCTACCACGATTAAAAAAAAAAAAAGGTTGAAAGTTATTCCATCATTACTCCTAGGTCCCACCCAACTTCCAATTCCAGACATACAGAGCTTTAGCTTTTAGACTTGAGACATTTTTAAACTTTAGAACTTCTGTTTAGCAGAACACTGCTTTAAAAAAACAAAAGGTCATTACTGCAGTAATAGCAACAATGATCTTTTTTCASGTGTATAAATAAGAGTATTTTTCTCAATATTGTATCCATTGTATCCAACTAACTCTAGTTCAATTAGCTCAAGATTTTTTAAGAATAGGATAATTTCATCATTTCCTGATTAGCTTAAAGCCACATCAAAATTCACAGACATACCTGCTTTTGAGAACTGGTTAACTGTTGCCATTTGTCATACAAATTCTTCATCTTTGCCTACAAGGTTCAAATATACAAAACAATAATATTAAAGCAACATCAAAGAGTCTAAGAGGACTAAGAATGATTTTCTCACCGGTATCAGCTAGACATAATTTTTTTTTTTAAATTACCCTCACAAAGACTTAATTTCCCATCTCTTAACCTAGGTCAGCAACAAACAATGTGTTTTAATATACTGCTGTGAGTCGTGCGACCCACATTTCCGCCAGCATAAGCATGAAGTAAGTTTAAATTACATCCTCCTGCGGCCAAAGCAGGCAGGCAAAGCAGCTGAGCTGATTCGTAGCATCACAATTGCATACTAAGCTACACTTAATTTAAGCCAAGCCCACAGAAACATGAATTAAGTTCACAGGAAACTTTACGTGACTTTAGAAGTATTAAGACATGTATGTGTCAAATTGGGACACAGTTGATTTGTAAATAGAGACAGCTTGTAAACACAACTGAGGAAAATAACTATTCCCCATCCTTTTTCATTGACTGCTAAATATGTGGGCATCCTAATTAAACTGGTTTTACTAACACCACAAGGTGTTTCTGTGAACAAAACCCATCACATTTGGCATGAAACTGTTACACTTGACCACTTCCCAGCTGTCTACCTGCATAAGGCAAGGAGGATATTACGGATATAGCAGAGGTCGCTGATGCTTTAAGTGCAGTAATCCAGCAATGTAACTTAAATCACCCCGAAGCGTAGCTTAGTGCAGAACTTCTGACTTTGCTGAGGAACTCTTGTGTGTTCCGTAACACTGATTTTGCTATAAGAGGAACAATAGTAACTACTACAGATATGGTAGCAGACCACCATGAGAGCTTGAAAAATTAATGCATTGCTAGACTGAGAGGAAAAAAGGCAAAATTCTCTCTTTAAAGAAATGAGACAAAGCATGTAAAACTGAAGTGCAAGTAGTACATCAGATCTTTTAGGTCTTCATGTCAGTATACCAGCTTAGACAGATTATACCCTCAGCAGTTCAGCCAAAAGATCACTATAGGCAAAAAAATAATACCTAGAAGAGAAAAATCCAGAGGCTGAACTGCTGTACAGTTGCTCAAAAAACCACAAAATCTAAGAAAGATTTTGATTGCAATATCAACAGATATCTCTACTGCAAAAGTTCATTATTTTTTTTTTTCTTCTCTTTTCAGAACAATCTTTCTGACTTACCGTAGGTGAAGCTCCCTGACTTTCTGGATAGTTTTCTGACACAAAAATGTTGAAAGCATTACGAGATTTTTTAGGTTTTCCAAGCACCGTCAATTCCTTCAAAAACAAGAACAAGAAAAGTTACTCAATCTACCCAACATACATTTTCCCAAAAATGAACACATCGTTTGTCCTTATGCTTTAGACAGAACAAAACAAACAAAAAAAAMCCTACAGCTTGATATTCAGTTTCTTGTGTTTTGTTCTGCAAACTGGCCTGTATATCAAGCTGATCTGATTATTCTCACGCTTGTCAAAAACAATCTAAAGAATGACAATGGGTTGCATTTTCAAGACTTAATAGTTCAAAAAATTGTTTTCTTTTTGGTTTTACTTCAGTCAGCCTTTCAGAAACTAAAAGCTGTATTTACACTCATTCAGGAAGAAAGTCATGACAGCAGTAGACCCAAAATCTAGAATACTTAACTCTTTTTTTCTGGAAGAACCTTCTTCTTGCTAGTTGTCTTTCCTTTTCTTCTCTCAAAGCAGCAGCATCAGCTGGAGTTAGCTGTGCTTTGTATTCGGCCAACTCTTCATGGTATTTTTGCCAGTCTGCCTGTCCAGCTTTCTCATAAACCTACAACACAGAAAGCAACCTTAACCTTGTGGCTCACCTGAGCATGGTCCTTTTAAAAGTATCAAAGYGCAAATTTCTGCAGGTCTTCTCTCTACTGATCTACTGCTGCTTTTTGTCCTCCTCAGGTGCAATCCGCCAAGAACGATCCTAGAAATAATCCAATGGGCTTGACACAAGTTAAATAAATGAACAAGCAAACAAACAAAGAAAAAGAAAAGACACACTGCTTTAGTTGCCTGGGAATAACTTAAGCATCTTCTGGACTCTCCATCCTGCACGTGTCCTTACGAATGACAAACATGTGAATGACACAGTGGCTTGTGGTGCAGCCTGAAGTTATAAAAGATGACTTTCATCGAAAAAAAAAAAAAAAAAAAAAAAAAACCACCCCACCTACTGTCTAGTTGAGAGTTTCAGTAGTCTGCACTGTCTGGTATTCCTCAGGTGACTATAGGATCAAGTGAGAAGCTTATACCACAACTCATCAATTTTTAAATGCCATAAGCAAAATGCACAGAGTTTTTGTCATTAGAACAACTGTATAAGCATTAAGGCCTTTGCTTGCCAAGAAGCTCCAGCAACAAAAGCAAACACTGGCCACAGAGTAAGAAGGGAGCAACGACACAGGAGCCACCAAACCAGGAAAATGGCTAGTGAGATTCTACACAGTTCAAAGCATACAGGACAAAGCAAAACAAAAAACATGCTTACTTGTTTCTCTGATGGTGGTAACTCCCTCCAAGCACCGGCCATTTTTTTAACCAGCTCCAGAATGGACATTTCTATAGGTTAAAGATAGAAAACAAATAAGAAATACTCAGAAATGCATTTCTTCAATTTTCCCCAGGAAAAAAACAAAGGCTGTCGCTAATATATGTTTCCTTTACAAACATATTTCCTTCTTTTTATAAACCTACGGTTTATAGGAACTGTGACTTTTGAGTAAAAAAGGAAAGTCTCTG